TTCTCAAACATGGACCCACACATTCCCAACCTTTCTTCCTGGTGAGCTTACAGCTCCTTGCTAAAGAAAACTTTAGAAACATAGATCCTCTTGCCCTAAGAAAGTACCTTCTTTCTTGACCCTAATTACTTGAGATTATCTACCTTTCTCCCTCTACAAAATACATACAACCTTTGGGTTCTAGAGAGGAGCTTCTCCAGATGTCACTACCTGCCCCCCCAGGCTTCCAGCCTCAGGTTATGAATGGACCCTTGGGATAGTTCAGGTGTTTCAAAATCCAGTGTGAATGTTACTTTGGTAATTAGGTTAACGCTCTTAGAACTTAGTTTTGTTGTTAAGAGATCTTTTTGAACCAAATGACTCAAATCTGATAGGTATTTGATTTACTATAAAGTATGACCACCACTTGAGCTGATGCCTCTCACTTTCTCCACTCTCCTCAAACCTGTTTTATGTACTAACGTAGTTTATACAGTTAATGTAGCTTGCGCGACAGAGATGGGTTTTAATATGTGCTGAATATAACACTTTTTCATAAATTTGCTTAAAAGGAAAAGTGTAGGAATAATTGTCATGACTGTTTGCTAATCTATGTTCTTTTGCTCATCCATACTTTGCATAAACCTTGATCAAAAGTCAAAACACTCAACTTGGTGGTAGGTGAACTGTTGCCTAAGAGGAAATAAGTAGTCACTGAAATACCCATCAACTAAACCCAAACCTGCAGTGTGATGCCAAAGAATACACTCTTCAAGAAATCACTTAGAAGATTACTAACATAAGTATTCTCTCCATGTTTGGGCATTCCCTGGTGGTCCAGTGGTTAGGACTTGGCGCTTTCACTGCCAGGGCACAGGTTCAATCCCCTGGTCAGGGAACTGAGATCCCGTAAGCCACATGGCACACACACCCCAAAATTTTTGCTCTCAGCCGTGAAAGTGGATTTTGTTGGGCTCCTTTACCCCAGTGGGACCCTTTATCTATATAAAATTAGAAGTCAACATAGACCCTGAAAGCTGCCTTAGTTGACATGGAGGTAGCCTGTCAGCTCCACATCCGTCTCATCTCATAAGGTGGCATCTCCGAGTGCCCCAGGGCTCCACCAAGCTCAGTTTAGCAACTTCTAGGTCACAACACAATAGCAATAAGGTCAAGGTCATGGTTTCAATGGCCACGGAGGCCATAACCAACTTCTTCCATTTACAAACATAAAACACTATGTGGTATGAGATAGATAACAGTTGATACTCAATAGAAAGAAATTTTTATCAGTATTCTTAACCAGCATTCTTGCAAGTGTGTACCTGTGTTACAAATAAGAAGAGTGAGTATGCAAAATCCCTCCAAATTGCAAATATACACCCTACTATCGGGTCAACAGCATCATCTTTGTCTGTTAAAAACACTTCATTTTATTTCAGCAGAGATAGTAAGTACCTGTTAGTGATGTTATTAATGGGGCCGAGACATGTGCTATGGAGTCAGGCAAGATGCTCTCCTGGGAGAATGACTTTCCACATTTCTCTGGTGTTAGAACGAACAGCAGCCCAGATGGACGCTCAGCAAATTACTGTCTCACAGCACAGCCCCATCTCGCTGGGATCTGTCAGCATTTTTGCAGCTTCCCACAGTGAAAAAGCTTCCTCATGATTCTGTATTCCTTGGGAAGATTAGACTCTGCCTTTTTTTCCTCCAACTCTTACATCTTCCATCTGAGACCATGTGGGTCTCAGATTTAGATCTTAGATTTACATCTAAATGTGAAGTTGTAGGCAACGACTTAGTGGCACAATATTGCCTTGAGCTGTAAATTAATTAATTAATTAATGAAACTCATCTGGAGACAGGCTTTTTTAAGAAGATTTCAAAGACCTTAGATAAATTGGTTTCTTTATAACCCTCTCCACCGTCCTCATATCTCTGACCCCTGCCGCACTGCCACCACTGCCACTCCCATTTGTGAACAGGCCACTTCACCTCCTACTTCAAAAGAAAATCAAAGCCACAGGCAGGAACTGCCTCAGGCTCCTGCAAACCCACAAGAATCTGTGCTCTCCTTTCCTCCTTCGCTTTTTTCCAATGAGAAGGAACCCCTGCTCCATGCCTGATCTCCTTACCTGTGTCCCAGATCCCTCCCGCCAACCTCCTCAGTCCCTGGCTCCATCAGTTATCTCCTCCTCCGCCTCTTACACCCACTTCACTGCCTCTTTCCCAGTAGCATTCAACAGGCCCAAGTGTCAACTGGGTTCATGGAGCATTCCAGCTATTGTCCCATCCTCTGCCTCCCTTCATGGTCGAGCTTAGTTGAGGGAGTTGCATCTACCTTCACGAATTCCTCTCCTCACCTCCCATTGACTCCCAGGGAGGATGCCCTACAAGGTCGCCCTTCAAAGTCGTCGCCCTACGAGATTCCTTGTTGCTAAACACAATAGACACCTTTGACTTCTCAAAAGTATCTAAACTTTTGGAAAATTATTCCTATTTAAAAAATAACAAACAAACATCCATTCAGTCAACAAGCATTTATTGAGTTCTGACTAGTGCTGGGAACTTAGAATGTGGCAGTAAACAGGTGTTGGCAACTGTGGAGTTTACATTAGGAGGAGATGGGGACCCAAGCCATAAACAATGAAACATATGAACAAGATAATTCCATAAGGTGGTAAGTGCTAGAGTGATGGGATAGAGAGTAACTATGGAAACCACACTGAGTTCCAAAGGAAGCCTCTCTGAAATGATATTTGAGCTGAAGGCACGAGTACAAAGATCTTGGGCCAGAATGTCACAGGCAGAATAAACAGCAAGAACGGAGTCCTGAGGTTGGCACAAGCACTGAATAGATATGACAACATGTCGTTTACATGTACAAAAGCAGAGACCAGAAAGAGGCAAGAGAGTGTGCTCTTGCTGGGTAAGGAAAGGGCTTCTGAGCCACAAGTGAAGTGGACCAAGTCTGGAAGAACAATGAGCTTTGTACCCTTTTGGGTTGGGGCCTGGCTCCACCTCCCCTCCACGGGCCTCCTGAGTAGAAGTGTTGGAGGAGTGGAGGAGGGTCTGTTGCCCGCCTCCTCCACCCTTCAAATCCAACTTTAGAAGCCAATAAGCAAATCAGCCAGCTTAAAACAAGCTGGAAGAGCTTCTGGAATGGACCCCGCTGGAGCCTGAAGAGAGACGGATCCCCTCACCCCTCTCCTTCGATCCCTCAACTCTGAGCTGGATAGGGAAAGTAGCCCAAGAGGGGCTCCTACAAGGCCACTTCTGGCTACACAGTGGAACCCAAAGTCAAGGTCAGCCCCTGAAGGGAGTGTGTTAGAGTTCAATCTTCTCATGATCAGCTTCAGTGGTCAGGGTCCTGGACTTGGAGGGGCTCTCCAGTATTTGTGCCTGGGAGACAAAATGAGCCCAAAGATATTCTCCCAAAGCCAAGTTCCCAAACACACACACACACACACACACACACACACACGCACCCCAATCCACAGGAACACAGGTGATCTATGGGTCCTCTGTCTAACCTGGGGGCAATGACCCCCAGCATGTGTGTGTGTATAGGGGGTGTGGTAGAACCAGAGTGGAGTGGAGGTTTAGTTCCTGTGGCCCTGATCGAGAGCCCATACTCAAGATCAAAGTCCTTTTCCAGAGCCTGGGACTGTAGATAGTGGGAGCAAATCAAAAAGAAGAGATGAGGGCTTCCCTGGTGGCACAGTGGTTAAGAGTCCACCTGCCGATGCAGGGGATACGGGTTCGTGCCCCGGTCCGGGAAGATCCCACATGCCACGGAGCGGCTGGGCCCGTGAGCCATGGCCGCTGAGCCTGCGCGTCCAGAGCCTGTGCTCTGCAACGGGAGAGGCCACAACAGTGAGAGGCCCGCGTACCGCAAAAAAAAAATAAGAGATGAGAAGTCAACCCTGGTCCATTATAATTGGCTTCAGACCCCACCACCACAGAATGTCCTCAGACGCAGGGAGGGAAGTCTTGGACGGCTTAAATGGCCTAACTCGCTCCTTCCTTGACCTAGTTATCCTCTCCCCAAGGCCAAGTTCCTCTCCTAGTTTTCCTGATTCCTCTACAGTATGTAAAGGGGCTGAGCCAGGGAGATTGGGGAGGGGGAGGGGAACCAGGCCTCAGCCCTTCTCAGGAATTTGAGGCTCTATGGCCTGTAAACAGCAACTCTCAGAGCAGCCCTCTGGTTCTCTGTAAGTGCTCTGGGGCCATTGCCTGTGTCTTGAGGTGGGGAGGGTGGGACACAGGGGCCATCTTTGCAGCCTTGTCTCCAGGAGCCCTCAGAAGCGGGGAAGTGGGCAGGGCATTGTGCGTGAGCCCAGATTACTCACCCAGGGTTACACATTTTGCAAAGCAACTAGTTCTGGAGTTGAGACTGTCCAGATGGGTTGGTAAGAGGGTTTGCTCTCACCGGGGTGAGGATCAGTTGGAGACACTCACAAATCCCTGTGTGAGGCTGGAGACAGGGGCCTGGGAGTGGGAGAGAGCTCCTTCCTCATGACTTTCCTCTCAGCTCCTGACACAGCACATCGACTGCCTCTGACATGTGGAGTTAGACAGCTCGTACCCTCCCTGGGAATCTCCTTGCATCTCTGGACCATTTGGTAGCCTAATATCTTATTACAAAAGAACTTGGATCTTCCCCAAAGCCAGCTGTGCCTCAGACTGTGAGCTAGTACAGAGGACTGATTAAGGAGGTCAAATGGAAACCAAAGGACACAGGGGGAGAGAGGAACCCAGGTAGAGGATTAATTACAAAGAAAGAGGTCAAAGGTTAAAAGTCAGACTAGGCAATAGGATGCGGGATGGAGGGGACTAGAGGTTGGAAGACAACACATGGGCTGGCACTGGGGCCATCCTGAGCCACAGATCCTGGAGGCCTGTGCACATCCTGGGGGAGAAAGGTCTGTAGCTGAGACCAAAAGAGCTCTGGAGCCTGAGGGCTGCTGCTGGGACCCACCGCCTGGAGTATAACACACAGACGTGTCCCCTCTCACCTCCAGGCAGGCTGCCCGGTGGCCCCCGCGCCATTGGGACTATGGGCATCGGCTGTGGCTGCATCAGCAGGTGTGTGCCCCTGCATCATATTCAAAGCCAGATAACCTGTCCCAGGGCACGTGGGTTGAGAAGCAGTGAGTCCGGGAGCTGAGGCCGTCCATTCACTTGAAACTCCTCCATCACTTCTTCCGAGGGGTCGGCTTGGTCCTCTTTTTCAATCTGGTTTACAAAGAGAAACATAAAAATCCCCAGCGTTGCTAAGTGATGTGCTCTTTCTCCATGCTCAGTTAATAGAATTATACATTTATAGACTACCTTTGCGGTTATTACTCTTCTGCTAAACTCAGCCTTAAAATCTCAATTCTGGAAACTTCTCAATTCTGGAAATATCTGGCCAAAATAATATGATAATTTTTTTTTCCGGCCTGAGCCTAGGAAAGATATTCTTTAAAATATCTTCTGTTTTTATGTACAGTAATTATTGATTTTGTTTCCTTTTTCTCTTTCTTTCTTTCTTTTTTTTTTTTTTTTAATATATTTTGGCTGCACCGCACAGCATATGGGATCTTAGCTCCCTGACCAGGGATCGAGTCCGTGCCCCCTGCTGTGGAAGCTCGAGTCTTAACCACTGGACCACCAGGGAAGCCGCTCTAACTCCTTTTAATGATTCAAAAAGCCAATTTGGCGAGGACTTAATATTGTTAAAATATTTTTCTAAAAAGAAAATGTTCTAAGTGAAATAGCAGTTTAAACCATATACAGAAACTAGACATACAGATCAGAAATGAAAAAATAAAACTGTCTCTATTTACAGACAACATGATTGTCAGTGTAGAAAATCCCAGAGTCTACCCCCAAAAAAAGCTAGAATAAGTGAGTTTAGCAAGATCACAGGGTACATGATCAATATGTTTTTATATATTGGCAGTGAAAAACTGAAATTGAAAAAGTACTATTTTTAATAGTACCTAAAAGCATGAAATGCTTAAGTATAAAGCAAACAAAATATGTATGTGATCTGTATGCTGAAAACTGCAAAACAAAAAGGACCTAAATGAATGGGGAGATAATAGCATGTACAGTTCTCCCCATGCTGACTTATAAACTTGACATAATCCCATTCAATCCCACCAGGATATATTGTCAAAATTCACACACTGACACTAAAATTTCTATGGAAAAGTGGAGGAACTAGAATAGCCAAAGACAATTTCAAAAATAAAAAACCGTGTTGGAGAATTTACACTAAACTGATTTTAACACTTACTGTAAGGCTGTAGTAATCAAGTTGATGAAAGAAAAGATATATAAATTAGTGAAACAGAATAGAAAGTCCAGAAATAAACTCACACATTATGGTCAACTGATTTTTGACAAAATTGCAAAAGTAATTCAGTGGAGAATCTTTTCAACAAGTTGTGCTGGAACTATTAGAGATCCATATGCAAAAAAAAAAATGGAACCTCAATCCATATCTCACACCATTTACCAAAAAATTAACTCAAAATAGATAATAACATAAATGTGAAACTTAAAATTTTTAATTTCCAGGAGAAAATCTTTGTGATCTTGGGTTAGGCAAAGAACTCTTCCATACAATCCAAAAAGCATACATACAATACAAAAAACATGATATATAAAAGAAAAAATTGATAAACTGAACTTTGCCAAAGTTTAAAACTTTGGTGCTTCACAAGACACTATTAAGAAAATGAGAAAGCAAACCACAGACTGGGAGAAAATACTTGTAAAACATGTATTTGATAAAGGACTTATATCCAGATATGTATTTTTAACCTCTGAAAACACAATAATAATTAAATAACCCACTTTTTTAAGTGGGCGAAAGGTTGAGCACACACTTCACCAATAAATGTCTTTGGTGGATGATATATAAGCTCATTAAAAGAACATCATTAGTCAATAGAAAAAAACAAAATTAAAACTACAGTGAGGTACCACAGCACACAATATTAGAATGGGTAAAATTTTTAAAGCTGACAGTACCAAATGCTGGCAAGAATTCAGAGCATCCCATTTTGCTAGGAGGATACAACCACTTTGCTAGTAGTGCAACCACTTTGGAAAACAATTTAGCAGTTTTATATTTATTTAAACATACACCTTCCATATGTCCCAGCAATACCAGTTCTAGTTATTTACTCAAAGAAAAGCAAACTTACACTCACATGAATGTTTACAGAAGCTTTATTCATAATTACCAAAAACTGGAAACAACCTAAATATCCTTCAACTCGTGAATGGAAAATTCTGATAGGTTCATGCACACAGTGGAATACTACTCAGCAATAAAAGTGAAAGAACTACTGATTCATGCAGCAACAACATGGTTCGATCTCAAATGCATTATGCTAAGTGAAAGAAGCCAGACTCAAAAGGGTACATACTGTATGATTCCATTTATGTGACATTCTAGACAAGACAAAACTATAGGGACAGAAAACAGATCAGTGGTTGTCAGGAGCTTGGGGACTGACTTCAAAGGGGAAGTATGAGGGAAATTTGGAAGTTGATGAAAGTATTCTATATTTTGATTGCGGTGGTGGTTACATGACTCTGTGCATAGAATGGTTTGCTGAAAATGTTGAATTCTACTGCATGCATGTAAACCTGAAATATGTATGCATGTGTGTGTGTGTGTGCCTTGTGTATTACACAAACATACATGACACTTTTTGTGTCATGGTCTGTGGCTTTCTCCTTTATCCGAATGCAGGTAACTGAACTATGACTTCCCAAAAGAAAACAGTGCTTAGTGATATAATCACTGTAATCCTGCTTTCCACCCAACTACTACTGCCCTGCTGTGTGTTTTTTCCCAGTAATGCTCAAAACTGCCTGGAAACAGACAGGGTGAAGGCAGATGGTTGGCTTCATACAAGGCTGGAGGTTTTCCCAAGAATATGAGATAGATACTCAAAGGGTAGGAGAATGTAAGGTATTTTTGAGAGAGATTAAAATGTTGGGCCATGGTTTCTAATTTGGAGAGGGAGGAAAGTGAAGAAAGAACGAGTCTGAATAGACATTTTTCCAAAGAAGACACATATGGTCAACTGGTACATGAAAAGATGCTCAACATCACTAATCATCAGGGAAATGCAAATCAAAACCACAATGAGATATCACCTCACACCTGTTAAAATGTCTATTATCAGAAAGACAAGAAATAGTAAGTGTTGGTGAGGATGTAGAGAAAAGAAAACCCTTGTGCTCTGTTGAGGGGAATGTAAATTGGTGCAGCCACTGTGAAAAACAGTATGGAGGTTCCTCAAAAAATTAAAAATAGAACTACCATACGGTCCAGCAATTCCACTCCTGTGTATTTATGCAAAGAAAATGAAAACATTAACTTTAAGAGATATATGCACCCTCATGTTCATTTCAGCATTATTTATAATAGCCAAGATATGGAAACAAGTGTCCATCAGTGGATAAGTGAATAAAGAAACTGTGATATATATATATATATATATATATACACACACACACACACACACACACACACATACAACGAACCATTATTCATCCATAAAAAAGAATGGAATCTTGCCATCTGCAACAACATGGATGGACCTCGAGGGCATTGTGCTAAGTAACATAAGTCAGGGAAAGATAAACACCATAGGATCTCTTCTATATCTGGAATCTAAACAAACAAACAAATGAAAAACAAGCTCATAGATACAGAGAACAGAGGCAGGGGTGCAGGGGGAGAGAAATTGGTAAACTGTTTCGATTTTTTTTTTAATTTAAATAAATTGAATAATTCATAAGGAAATAATTTAAATTAATAAATAAATGATGATAACTTGAAACATTTTTTAAATCAAACTACCAGGGAAGAAAAAAGGAATCTGATGGATGGAGAAGGAAAAGCCAGGGCTCAGAGTACCAGAAGCACCTGGTGAAGTTTAAGAACAGCTGCTGTGGGCACACTTAACAAAGCAAGCTGGAAGAAAAGCAGACGGTGATGTGGAGTTGGATGATTCCACTGGTGATTTCAGAGACGGCAATTTGTTTCCCTCATTGGAGAATAAACTTTGAAAGAACAGATGGTTCATATGCGGCTCCATCAGGCAGAGCTCAGCAAGCCTTCAGCACAGCCTCACGGCCTGTTCTAAACCTACCCTAACCTTCTCAGTCCTCCAGCTCTTTCATCCTCGGGGTATGACTTGCCTTCATCCTTTTTTAAATGTTTTCAAATTTTTTTATTATTTATGTATTTTTTTGGCTGCGAGGCATGTGGGATCTTAGTTCCCCAACCAGGGATCGAACCCACACCCACTGCATTGGAAGCACAGAGTCTTAACCACTGGACTGCCAGGGAAGTCCCCTTAACGACCATTTAATGGGTCTCTATTTTGCAAAAACAAACGGCTTTTCCTGTTCCCATCAGTGGCCTGTCCCTCCACACGTACTATGAAGGAGCCTTACTTCTCTCACTCTATCCACGATCTCCATCCCCTCTCCTTTGTTTCCAATCTCACCCTCACTTCTGCACCCTTTCCCATCAGCTCTTAATGTACTTTAAGTTACGGTAAAAAAACAAAAAAAATTCTAGAAAGTAGAATTGGCAGGCATGTGTGTATCTCAAGAGGTTGGAAGTCAGGGTGGGGCTTAGGTTTCCAGTAGGGCTGATTAGAGGGGCTGTAGTGTTATTTGCTGAGGTTGTTGATAAGAGGAAGAGCGAGTGTTCATGGGAAAGAAGTCAAGTGGAGATGAGTTGAGTTCGATAACATCCATGTTGATCTGCTGGGCAATCAAGCCCATATATGAGTTTAATGCCAGGGCTGGAATAAGGTTTAAAAGTCATCACCGTGCCGGTCACGTTTAAAACCATAAGAAAAGTCTACAAATAACAAATGCTGGAGAGGATGTGGAGAAAAGGGAACACTCCTACACTGTTGGTGGGAATGTAAGTTGGTACAGCCACTATGGAAAACAGTATGGAGGTTCCTCAGAAAACTAAAAATAGAATTACCATATGATCCAGCAATCCCACCCCTGGGAATATACCTGGACAAAATTATACTTCAGAAAGATACATGCACCCCTATGTTCATAGCAGCACTGTTCACAATAGCCAAAGCATGGAAACAACTTAATACCCATCGACAGATGAATGGATAAAGAAGATGTGGTGCATATATACAATGGAATAGTACTCAGCCATAAAAAAGAATGAAATAATGCCATTTGCAGCAACATGGATGCAACTAGAGAGTATCATACTAAGTGAAGTAAGTCAGAAAGAGAAATACAAATATATGATATCACTTAATGTGGCATCTAAAATACGGCACAAATGAACCTATCTACAAAACATAAACAGACTCATAGACATAGAGAATAGACCTGTGGTTGTCAAGGCAGAGGGGGGAAGGGAGAGGGAGGGACTGGGAGTTGGGGTTGGTAGATGGAAACTATTACATTTAGAATGGATAAACAACAAGATCCTACTGTATAGCACAGGGAACTATACTGAATATCCTGTTATAAACCATAATGGAAAAGAATATTAAAAATGTGTATATATATATATATATATATATTTACAACTGAAAAAAACCCATAAAACCGTAAGAGACTCTGTAATGGCCTATATGGGAAAAGAATCTAAAAAAGAGGGGATATATGTATATGTATAACTGATTCACTTTGCTGTACAGCAGAAACAAACGCAACATTGTAAATCAAGTATACTCTAATAAAAATTTTTAAAATAAATAATTTAAAAAAAAAAAAAAAAACAGAAGGCAAAATCAAGGAGAGGGCTCAGAATAAAACCCTAGAAGATCCCAAGGTGAAGTGTTGCCAGAAAAGGAAGGACTCATAAAGAAGACCAAGATGGAAAAATCAAGGGAAGTGGAAGGGCTAGTTTACCCAATCCTGCACAAAGAAAGAGAGTTCTCTCTGGTTTTCTGGAAGGTGAAAATGCAGAATGTACCTCTTGGCATCAGGAAGACAAAAGGAGGACAAGTCACATCATAGAAAGTGTCTGGAATAAGTTTGGGTGTGCAGACCTGAAAAGCAGGCAGACTACCTCTATCTAAGAGCCTGAAACTTAGCAGCTGGCCCCGGAGCCTGGGTCTGTTAGTGCATACTCTCGGACCCCTCACAGTAATTGCTCATGGGTCGGCGCTCTTCTGAAGTAAATCCTAGCTTGTCAAGTATGTAAATGTTTATAATTGCATTTTCCTTTGGCAGTCCTGGTCATTGCGAACAAACCGAAAACTATATACAGGTGCGACCACTGACTGTGGGCTAACTCCCGAGCTCAGGGTTGTTACTCAGGGAACAGCAGCATCACTGAGAGATGGGCCACTCATAAATACCATCTGAGCAGCGGGACCAGGGGTATACATCATCCCCCCTGATTGCCCAGAGTTTGGTGCAGTGCTGTACACGTGGTCTTGATGACCAGGCGTGAAAATACATGTGGAAATAGATTGGTCCTCCAGGCTTCTTGTGTGCAGGGCTCAGTTTGTACAAGACAATGCTGTGAAAGAACACATCAAAGGCACACACAGTACTGCTCACATATGTGTGACTGGCCCCAAATTAGTCACACAAAGCCACAGCCACAGAAGTTTTCAGAAAACCACAGATCTTAGCTCCTGAAAGCAGAGCACCAAGGAGCCAGAAGAGTCTCAGCTCAGGAAACACGTCTTAACCCTAAAGGCCGGGATGACCTGTGAAATACTAAAACCTTGAAGAACTGAGAGTAAAACAAACTAAAAGGGAGATGCCATGGTTTCTTTCCATCAAATATGAGAATGCTGGCATGTTCAATCAGGATGCAAGGAATCATACCTATTGGATCCTAAGATTTAAATATTCACTGGTTTTTGAAAAGATGCATCCAAGGGAATTACTAAGGACACAAAAGTCCTTTGTCAAAATTGTTTGACCTCAAAGGGTCAGACCTCAAGAATGGCACCATTTCAGAAAGCAAACCTGCTTCAGGAGAACTTTTTTGACGCTTTCTTCACATGTAATTTAGTAGCTCTGCTTGAGAGTGAATTTTTTCCCATTAATCTTCCTCCCACCCCTTTGATTTAGGACAGTCACTTAGTGTCAATAGAGTATGTATGCATAGCGCATACAGCATGGCGAAGCAATGTCTCTAATGCATTACCTTAGGACCTTGGGGAACCTGAGAAGGGAGAATGAGTATCGTAGGAAGGGCTCAGATGGTGCATCTGTGATGTCGTGGGACATTATGAATGGAGCCTGTCAGGTCCCTTGGTCCCAGGGAAGGGACGACAGCTGAGGAGGCAATGACAGACTATAGAGGTGTCTTCCCCGATACCCACTGAGGATGGTTAACTGAGGGAGTCAAAATACACCAACACTAAAATATCTCTTGAGTTTAAGTGAATTCAGCAAGGCTGAATCCAGACAAATCTGTGGCTCAGATGAAATTAGCTTTCATTGTCTTCCATCTCCTTTCCATGTCCTGGTTCATTCAACTCCCGGCCACCCAAACAGCCATCACACAGCTCACTGGAGATTGTGGGCTTGAAGCCACCACCATAGATGTCATGCCTCATATACAATTAATTTCCTCTGCTCTGTACATTTCCTAACCACTTCCATATTTCAAAGCTTACCTGTCCTAGGACCTTATTACTCAGGCCCCTCAGGAAGGCATAAATTAACAACCAGGTAACTTGACGCACAACTTCCTATTACAGTTTTAGTGACTTACCAGTCACTCACCAGTCTGTTACTTCCTTCCCAAATTAACTTCACCTGATCTACACTGGGGGTGGGTTGGTTGCTTGTTGACAGTGCAGATCCCTAGAACCTCACAAGTGACCCAAGGAATTAGATTCTCTGGGAGCATTTTAACATGCTCCCCAATTGATTCTTCTACATACTAAATCTGTAAACATCATGAGACATGCATACACTATTATGTGCTATGTAGGTTCTGAGCATCAGAGTATTTATGAGAATCCCAAATACAATTTATATCCATTGTTAACTTATAAAACAGGTTCATTTTCAAATACTAAAAGGACTAAAGAGTTGGCCTGCCGTGCGTGTGGACAGAGTATAAGGGAAGTCTCTGTACCTTCTGCTCAACTATGATATGAACCTAAAACTGCTCTGAAAAGTAAAGTCTATTAAAACAAACAAACAAACAAACAAAAAAAACAGGCTGACCTTCCCAAGATGGAGCTGATGAACATATGCTCTTTGGCTCACTTATTCTCTCTACAGGCATCATCCTCTTTTATCCTCTACTTATTCTAACCTAACTTCTGCGAAGCCCCAGACAGGCAGAGCCATTCTCCAGGCTCCCATAGCCCCAATGCACATACTGATTATGAGAGTATTAGAGCGTTTAACCCTACACTGTGACTAACTATTCTCTTGTTTGGTTCTGGTGGATCACACACAACCTGGCTTGTTCTGGCCACGTTCCCATCCCCCAGTATAGTATGTGGAACTCTATACATATGCAATCAAGATTGTTGAATGAATGCTCTTGCCACTGAAGTTAACATCAGATGAAGTGTGTTGGGAGGAGGGATGGATGAACTGGCTGAACCTCTCCTTTTGCACATACACAGATACCCCTTAGAGCCACCATTCTTTCTTTCTCTGAGGGACAGGAATCGAGGACCTCATTAATTCAATCTGTTACTGTGGTCCATACTCTGAATTTATAAATTAATCACTTCCAGTCCTACTAGACAAAGGAAGCAACTGGTGCTGCCATCTGAAGTATTGTACCAACAGTGGCTATGTGGAAAACAGAAGCCACACTAGGTGTTTCAAACAAGGGGATTTAATGCAGGGAATTGATTACACAGGTTTGGTAAGGCTGAAGGAGGGCCACTGAGATAACCTATTGTTAGTAAACACAGGAAGCAGCTACTAACCTTAGGGCTGGGGAGCAAAAGGGAAGAGGTGGTGTTACCAGAACCTAGAGGCTTTGTTGGGGGACCCCCCACGGCTGGTGCCTGGCCCTTTCTGGGGGCTGCTGCGCGGCTGCTGCTTGGACTTCTGAGGGGAACGCTGCTTGGCTGGTGGAGGTCGGACTTCTGGGCGGGGGCGTGGCTGACGTTCGGACCTCGGAGGGGACCGTGGCTTGGCTGGTGCTCTGACCACCGCGGGGGGTGCAGCTGGCTGGCGCTTGGGCCTCTGAGGGGACGTTGCGCGGCGGCTGGTTCTGAGAGGGCCAAAAGAAGCTGGAGGCTGGAGCAATGGCTCTCCTCTGTTGCTTTAAGGGATGCTGACAGGAGCTGGAAATAGGAAGGCAGCCCTGCTCCTCCCCCCGCCCCACCTTCCAGTCTCCCTCCAGTACCTTCCAATGCCTGAGCCTAACGGGGGAGCCGACTGTCAGGGGATTGGGGGAAGCGCAGCTTGCAGAGCCTCAGCCCCAGCATCGCAGAGTAGAGCAGGAAGGGGGAACTCAGAGCTGAGAGACAGAGGCCAACGCCCAGCCCAGGCGCCAGGTGGCCTCGCAGACCACTCACCTGGTCTTCTGGCAGGCACAGCAGATCCAGTCCTCCTCTTTCTTCTGGTAGAAGCAGCCACTTTTACAGATGCTATACTTGCGGTCCACAATCTCGCGTTTGGAGTTGAGGAAGGTGAACGGCGGGCAGCAATGTATGCTGAAGTGCTCCGAGAACTTCTGGTTCTTGGAGAGTCTGGGGCCCTCCTTAACCACTTTCTGACTCATCTCACTGGAAATCAGTGATGCGGGGGGAGGTGGGGAGACATAAAACAGCACATTCATGTGAGGGAGCTTTCTACTCAAGGAACCCACTCCCTGCTACTCCCATGGTCCAAGTTAACATTCAGGGCTATCCTCCATCCTGAATCTGGAAGGTCAATTTCCTGCCCAGCTCTATGGAAATGAACTCAATTAGGAGTTTGTTCTTTTTTTAAAATTTACATACAATTTTTAAAGGTTACATTCCATTTACAGTTATTACAAAATATTGGCTATATTCCCCGTGTTGTACAAATACATCCCTGTAGCCTATCTTACACCTAAGAGTTTGTACCTAGGCAATATAAGGGAAGAGTTTGTTAATTTTTAAATCATGTTTTCTGAAAATGGACTCTCTTTTCCCTTGTTTATTAGCCACCCACTTAGGACAGGAAAAAATATTACAAAGCCAAACACATCTATGGCAAAATAATATTCTAGATTTAGGAATGGCCGTTTCTCTAAAAAACCAAGAAAGCTTTGTTATTGAAAGCATAATCTCTATTCATACAATGAAATACTACACCAGAATGAGAAAGAACAGACTGTAAGACACAGGTCAACATGTTTGAATCTCACAAACATAATGTCGAACAAAAGAAGCCAAACACAAAGGAATACACGCTATATGATTCAATTTATATGAGGTTCAAAAACAGGCAAAACTAGTCTAGTACATGGTGCTAGAAATCAGAACATAGTTATATTTGGAAGGGGTGGGGTCTGACCAAGAAGAGGCAGGAGGGAGCCTGCTGGGGGCGGAAAATGTTCTGGATCTTGATCTGGGAGATGACTACACAGGTGTATACATATGTAAAACTTCAGTGAGCTCTACACTTAATTTTTGTGCATTTTACTGTTTACCTCAGTTGAAAAGGAAAAGTAAGAGGAGGAAGAGGAGAGACTAGAGAGTTTTGATTCTTGAAATATTCTGAAAGGGGGGTAAAAACTTAATTACTACAACATCCTTTGTGGAAACGTGACACATGCAGAAATAGTCCTACCTAACACTCCAAAACACTGAAGCACGCAGGGTACTTAAATGACTATTAACCAACAAGAGTCTACAAATATACACAGGTAATGTGCATATACCGGCCACTGAGAATGTCCCTCCTCTCAACAAACTCAAGGTCAAGTTGTACACACAGACGTGCAGTATGTAATTACAAGACACAGTGACATCGACCAACAGAAGTATGTACAAAGATAAAGGAAACCATGAAAAGGGGATGGATTCTTTGAAGACAGAGAAGATGATCTGGGTTTTAAGGATGAATACATTAAAAACAACTAAGTTACTCTGAGGGGATATTTTGATTTTTTGTTTGTTGGTTGGTTTCTATTGTTTTTTATTGAAGTATAGTTGATTTATAATGTTGTGTAACTTTTTTGTTTTTTGATAGGGTTGTCTTCTGCTACAGATAGAAGTGAGGGCTGAGGAGCAAGTTGAGTGTAGTTGTGAGAAGAAAATACAACCTTTTGCACCTCAGTCTGTAGAGTCCATATTATGTGTTACACCTGTTATGTTGCAAATGCTGTTTCCCAATGTTTCACCTGCTTTTATCATGCAAAAAATTAATTTTTATGTAATTAAGTTTCCTAGTTCTTACTCAGGGTTTTATATTTGAGTTCAGAAAGTCCTCCCTACTTCAGAAGCTCTTAATCATGCTCATGAATATCCCATTTTGAAAGAGAATCCTCTCTGAATCTCACTTTCATGTCTCTTTTCCTCTCTATAACTCCTCACTTTTATAGGCAATGTTCTTGAGAAGTTATCAACACTCTCTTTCTCCATTTCTACGTCTCCTCCCCCTCAGTACACTCCAATCTGGCTTCTGTTCCTACCTCCCAAAGACACGTGTTTCTCATAAAGACCTCCATGCTGCCAGACCAGCGTCTTCTTGCTCGATCTCTCTCTCCATGTAAATGCTTCCCTGTCCTGTCACTCCATGTTCTCCTAGATTCCCTCCTCCATCTCTAGCCCTTCTGTCTCAGTTTCTCTTATAGGCTCATCTGCTTTATCCAAAACTTTTAATATTAGAGTTCTTCAAGGTACAATAAATACTAAATTATTAATGGGGTTACCTTCAAGCATCCACTTCAGCATTTATGATATGTTTAGGTTGTGCCAGACACAGTGCTCAGGCTCTGTAGTGGATGCAAAGCTGAATCATGTTTAGTCCCATCCTCAAGAAAAGTATCCACCAGCTGGGAAGATGGGCAAGGATGCGCATGGTGTACTCATGGCCACAAAACCTACCTATTGACCCCAAACACGTACAAGTCTCTGAAGAGACTGAGGGGATGGATCAGCTAAACATCCTGCTGACATCTTGTAGATGGAGGAATGTTGCATAAATGTTAGGAAGTGCAATACAAGGAAGGGATGCTGTGGAACATGAGAATGTGCTGAGACAATGGCACGGAGAGTCCACAAGAGCGGGGCCATACATTGGGCTGGGGAAGCAGGTAAAACATGGGTAGAAACATCTGGCCCTGAGATTTGGACAGCAGAGATAAGGGTTTGTGGAGGATTGGGAACAGTTGATTCCTAAGCAAAGATACAGAAGGGTGAATTGCAGTCCACCTGAGAGCCCACCCGGTCTTCAGGGCAGTGTGGGAGAGGTGTCAGTGCCAGGACACAGGTGATGAGGTAACACAGGAGCTACCCATCACTGCGAAGGATCTAGCCCTTGTGACTGGGAGTGTGGTCATGCCATCAGCTGATCAGGAGTCTGAATAGATGAGAGGGAGGGAGATCATCTCATTGGTCTGGGGTATCATGAATTTAAGGCGCTCATGACATCCATGTGGAAATGGGCATCCGAAACTCAGGAGCTAGAGCTGTCAGCTCGAGGGTTCTTCACCTCATGGAAGAGGCACAACCTTGGGAGTGGATGTACTGGGTGTGAGCTGAGTGAGGAGCCAGGCCAGGGAAGGCTCCCAGGAGGAGTAGTGGGCCTACCTTCAAGCTCCAGGAAGAAGAGCTAGGGAAGAAGGAGCAGCAGGGGCAGCCAGGGAGGTGGGAGGAGTAGCAGACTCTTAGAAGAGAAATCTGCAAATTTGCAGGAGGAGGAGATGGTCAGCAGTATATATTAAAAAAAAAAAAAAAACCAAACAAAAAAACGCTTTGTACAAACAAGCATTTTTAGACCAATGAGAAACTAAAATTGATTTTTAGGATCTGATTCTTTGCAATTACGACCCTAAAGATCTGCCGAAGCCCTACCAAACCCTGCACATGTGGCAAAGTCCAGCTCGAGTTTCTGCTCCCGTGGGAAATAAATGAAACACCCCAGGACTAAGCAGCAGGAGTCATTTCTTTAGGCTCCCAGCACATGGAGACGAGGTTACTCAGTTTCACAGGCAACTCAGACATCCCTAATTCCTCCAGCCTTCTGGGGTCATCTTTCCCCAGATTGTTCAGGCACTCATCACAAATAACAGAAAATCTAGCACTTGCCCCAAATTTTTATGAATGACCGGCATGGGGTAAGAGGGAGATCTTAAGTCTCCTGTGACTCTAAATTTCTGCTCTGACTGAATTCTCAATTCCCACCCACCTGACAAGATGCCTGGGCCCACTCTATGCCTATCTAGACCCCCTCCCAGCCATCTCTTCCCCAGCACATCAGGGGAAAGTTCTCAAAGTATTCCCTGGCAACTCTCCTTACTCTCCGCCTTCGCCCACCGTGTCCAGCAGGGAGCAGCCTAACCGCTTGTTACTCATCACATGTGTTCCTAATGGAAAAGCAGTTCTCTGCCCCGGACCCCTGACATTCTTCTAGATTAACCAACTGAAAATTCACCCAGCTTTAACACAGCATTTCCCCCCTTCCTTTAGTAAAATGTTAACAGTCAGTGGAAAGGCTCTGGCTACTATTGCCTGTGGTAGCAGAAGAACCGCATTTAGTTTGGGGTACATTGTAATTGGTTATATATACTCCCCTCCAACTCTGCCCCACACCATGCCCCAGTTTAGAAATGCTAAGGTCCACATGCTAAGCCATAGCAACATACACACGAGCCATCCTTTCCCACCATACCAGGCTTCCTAGTAAATTAGTTGTAACTACAGGCAAATAACTAATGGCAGAAGAAATAATTCACATTTCCTGATGCCCTATTATATGGTGGTTGTTTTATATACTTTACCTTATTTTTCTAATATGGCATTATCATCAACAAACTAAAGATGAGATAAGTAAGGAATATGACCAAGTTCAAAGAGCCAGTAAGAGGCGAACAGGGATTTGAACCCAGGTCCCTGTGACTCCAGCACCTGGTGCCGTCTGACCAGGCTCAACATGGTCTGAGTTCCCTGTGCTCAGCCCTCCTCTCTAGGGAGCAGGTGTCCAGGCGATGGGACCAGCCTGGACTTTGGGGAACTGGAGTTGGGTCCAAGGATGGGATAAGGCTGCAGAAGTGCATGGGTCCATGTCCCAGGGTGAAAAAGACTGAAAGTTGGGGAAACAGCTCCCTGAAGAAAGGAATGGTAGAGGATGGCGTGTGGAGACATCAGGACAGTACGGTGGCCAGCACCTCCTGCCAGAGCACAGAGGCTCACAGTGGGGGGCTGCAATGTAAACTCAGGCAGGGTCCCGAGGGGAGTGTGACCCATGGGTGCTTCCTCTGTCCCTCCCTCACCAGTCCTTAGTAGGTTTTAAGACCTTATTCACTGTTGAGAATTTTAAAACTTGGATGAAGGAAAATGATAAAAATTCCTAAATTCTTATCTCATAGTTAACCACGTAAAAATATTTGAACGTATTTTTTGCCTTGAGAATATTTACATGTAAATATATAGCTAATAAAAAGTCAGACCATACCTTACATACTTTTCAAATTATATACTTGGAAAAATCATTCATTTTTTAAATAAAGTTTTATAGATGTAGACATAATGTCACTCATAGCATTTTCCTTTGGCTTTTAAAATCTGTGATAAATTTATAGTTGCAGCCCCCT